ACGGATGTGTAAGAACACCACAAGAAAAGGCCAGGGCACCAACACACGACGATATTTGGTTCAACAAACACCTCCAGCACAGTCACAACCATCTCTCGGGAGGTTCAAAAACGAGTAAGTGCTAGGGTGGCAATTTTACATCAAACAATAGCATATTGAGGAGTAAATTAAGTAGAGAAACTGTGTTATCTAGAGCAGCCATTTCCACCTAGAAGTATACCAATAGTTGCACATGAGCTCACCTCCCACATTTGATGCTTCCTTTGATATCTCACATGCAAACATTCCCCTTACGCTAGTTTTTCAAACACGTCACGTGACCTCTGTCTTAGAATGTGTATTTCGCTGTGGCGTAGATTCGAGTATCTCGTTGGAGAGGTACGACCACCGAACAAGGCGTAAGGCTTACAGCTCTAAACAAGAGTTTGATGTTTTGGACATGTGTTAACTTTTCTTGACTCGCCAACGATCAAAGCAAAAACAACATAAGTTTTCACTTGTTTTGTTCGAAATGAAAGCAGCGACATTAGATGCCGATTTGGGGGAAATGATCTCCAGCTGCAACATAAACACCATTTGGTTGCGTCGACGTCGACCGCTGCGTTTTTGTGTTGTTTTCTTTTGTTTTTATTTTGTTTTGCTTTTGTTTTGCTGTCGACGCGCTACGTGTGTAACTCTGTGTGCTACGCAATGAACGGAGTATCGCGTGTTGTAGCTGTGAGCGAATTTGTGCCGATTCATTCAAAACGTGGGGCATGATTTGGCGACAGCATTGTCAATAACTGATGCTTTGATAGAGGCAGCAGCTTTCCCATGTTTTCCACTCATCATCTCCTTCACTGTTCTGTTGCATCGTAGGGTGCTGTTCTCATGGGGAGGTTTTAAATTGCACAGCAGTCGAGCAGAAGAAGATGTAAATGGAAAGTGCATTACGCATGTGCTGACTATGTATACCTCAAGCATTCAAGGTAGGACAGTCGGACCTCAGCTTTCAGAGCTTAAAGGGAGTGTTCCACATTTATGTGAGGTTTTCAGCTGAAATAGCCATTTTGCAATTTTGTGGTGCTGTTTACAATTCTGCCCTTAAGACCCAAGGCCCTATAGACTCCGAGCTAAAGGCCCTCAAAATGGAGAAAGGTATATCAGGAAGAGCATTTCAAAATTACGTTGGCATTCATGACGCCATTATATGTAGGTCATTTAAATCCTACCATTCCATTAGCCATGCGGCAATCAAGGCCAAGAAAAACAAAATTGTCGAGGCGCTAATGTCTGGCGTTTATCTCGCGTTCATGAGCACGATTTCCAGATGCAACGGCCGTTAATTGGCTCCCAACCAATGTTGTGCAAGGTACGATGACGTAATCAAACCATGGCACATTGAGGAGCATCTTTGCTATACAGAGAATTGTGTCGTCCATAGCAGTATTTTCTACTTTAAAGTATACCTAAGTTATAAGTTATAGCTGATTTCATTATAGCTGATGCTTGCTTTGATATCTCCAAATGTGAAACATTCCCTTTGAGGAAACATGGGAGCGCAACATGAGCAGTCATTGCACAATCAAAACTGGCCCATTCACTGATCTAAACATTAGCAGCCTGATGTGCTGACAGCTGGAAACTGGTTTCTACTTATCAATTCATGTTGGCTGACTTCTGCCTTATGATGTTAGAGCTGTGCGCATGCATGGTATTAGTTTAAAAGCGTTTCAAGAGGAAAATCCTTCGGCATGCTATGTTATTTTGTGAGCATTCATTGCACACCATTCTGCTTTCACTCAGGGTGATGAAAACAGGCAGGCAGGCACTGCAGGCAATGAGATTACCCACATCTCATTTGTTAAGTGTTTCGGGGCTTAGCTTACATAAACAGAGAATACATGACAAGCATTTTGCTAATCACACAAGTAGGATCCATTTTGATATTTTGCAAAGAAATGTGTCTGAACATGCAGCTTTGCCTCATCTCTTGGTCTTGGGGTGCACCAGCCAAGTGTTCTTGCCCGAATGACTGAACGGTCACTATTTCTTGATCATGCGAAGTGTTATGCTCCGTTATGCCCTCCGCAGGCGTGGCATGCCGTTAAGAGTTGCCACTTCGGTAGTTTGCATTTCAATAAGCAACAGTCCTAAGGTTCGTAACATGATCTACGACACAAATCCTTGGCTTCATTGCAATACCAAAATCTTTGGGGCTTTATCGCACCTGCTCCGTTGTATATCAGTGCCTGCCTTTCAGAAACTCGGGCAATATTGTTAACGTACTTCTTTGTCCTAGGCCGTGCATTCGCTGTGCATTTTTGTAAGAGCTTAGTGTGTGTGTAATTCGTATGGTTTTGCAAACTAGATAACACGATTTTACGCCCAATACTATGATTTAAGCCAAAGATCTATGATTTTCTGATTTCAGAAATTGACTCCAGAAGTGAAATAGCCCTTTTCAAGGAAAAGCGCTGGCGTAAGTAAGGGACGCGCCGGTGGTATAGCACAAGCGGCCTAGGAATACCTAGCACACGGCTGGATTCGCTTTCCTTCGGCCTCTGAAAAGTTGGACAAAAATGGAAATCAAATTTCAGTCACACATTGCACGATAACTTGACCATTGATCTATCGCTCCAGAGGATGTGTGTTACAGCCAGCGCCATTCGCGGAAACAATTAATGTATTTATCTTGGACCAACATACTCAGTCCGAGCAGTGAAGCAATTAGAACGTGATCATGCAACGAGCGCCTGACATGACCGCACGGCCAAACGCGGCAACCAGTCAACTAGCCAGCGCTGTTCAGCGGTCGCCACGTACGGCCTCGAATGTCTGGCACTACCACGTGTCGTGTGGCTACGCTCTAGTGCAATTTAACTCAGAAGTCAGCAGGTGACAGAACACTATGCGTGATAACTGACGTTAGTGTCAGTTTGGCCGAAAAGGTGTCACGCGGTTTTGAAGCACCAAGCATCGCCAGACCAGTTCACGCAAAGTACATGACATCTGCAGCGTTGCGACCAAAGGCACTCGGCTCACAAACAGCTCACAATTCCATGAGCCGTGGCTTGGTACGGAAAAACATCAGCCTAGCCCTGCCCTTCTCCCCTGCATGAGGACTTGATGAGTCCAGTGTCATACCGTGTGGTACGAGGCCCAGGTGAGTTCCGGGCCAGGGCTTTGGGACGTTGCACGCGGATACTCGGGCCTGGAAATACATGTGCATAAGCTGTGACTTCTTTTAAATTACAAAAAAGATCTAGCGTCACTTAACATGAACAGAGCATAGGCACATGAAAGATAGTGCGCTTATCCGTTTTGGCGGCGTGTGATCTAAAATCAATCGACCTCAGGACGCGTAAAAATTACGGTCGCCTAGCAAATGACGTGTTAGGTCATGAAGGCATGTCGATACCTGGGTCCTAAAAGAACTTTTGCCGTTAAGGTCTAGAAATCTTATTGCAACGTCTTGTGTAAAGTTGATGTTGTCAGATCGTAAGTCATTTCCATCACTCCTTGGACGGCAACATCTGCAACATCTTGTCTTAAGTTTGTGTTGTCAGATCATAAGTCGTTTCCATCACTCCTTGGACCGACCACTCCCAGACTACTTCATGTAGACGAAAATTTAAGACTAGACTGCGTATTTCGCAGCTTCGCGACATGACGGGCTTCGCCGAAGGCTCCCAAAGCGTACGCTTCATGTGATGCTTCCTATCTAAATGCTCGGGGGTTAGACCCACGTAAAAAAATATTATGCAGTTGTGTGAGCGGTGGCATTTAAGGACATGACTTAGTCGTCTAGCGGCCATCTTTTTGCTAGCAATTCTTTCTTTTTTTGGCAATTCGGCGAGTCAGACGGGTGCACCGCATGGCAGTGCTATCATTACTGCGGCGTTTTAGCTCATTGCATTAGGACCGGAGACAACACGCAAATTGGTGGCATTGAGGCCAACCAGATTTGTTGAGGCTGAAAAGTTCATGTCTGTAATATGAGCTCTATGATGTCAGAAAAATAAACAACGAAACGTTTTTATTAGTTTCAATGCCTCTAAAGGGACTAGGACCGTCAACACAAAATGTTGAATGAAATACGTAGAAAGCATCGTCATGTCTTCCCAACTTATACAGTACAATAGCTATGGCCAGTACATTGTCTGTACTGTGCTAAAGATTCATTGTGTATGCAAACTCTTAGCTTCAGCTCCTGGGGTCGAGTAGCATGAGTACCGCGCAGTGGTGTTATCACTGGGGGGCGGAACGTTGGGGACGTTAGTCGTATCAAAATGATATGTTGAACAGTGGACATATTTGCGTTGTTTTATTGCCATGTGTTGTGAACAAAAAGTGCTTCTACAGAACCATTGATTTCGCCTTGTTCTAAAACATTCAGTACCACCCTGTCGGGACACCCGACCCGCTCCACCAGGCTGAGCGATGCGTCGCTGTTACATGCTGATAACGCGGATTGCGCGACCCAGCAATTAACGCCCACCTAAAACCTCGGATTTTCATTATCAACGCTGACACTCCGAAGTGCACAAATCCTTGGCACAAGTCTGTGGGGGTGGGGTGGCCCCCCGTTGCGCAGACCGGGTCGATACCATGTCGTAGCTGCGCGGAGTCAGCGGAACATCCCTTCCACTTCGAGCAACAGGTGCGGGCTGGAGCGGCCGGTCGGCCCGCGGCGCAGTCAGTTGGGCGGCGCGGGTGGCGTCGGGAGCAGCTCCGGGTACCGACCGCCCTATCGGGTCACGGCGGTCGTCAGTCGTGACCGGGTCACACTGGGCGACTGCTCCCATCGCGCCGCGCCGAGGTGCCGTCTCGTCTGGGTCGCCGCTCTGATTTCAGCCGGGGCCCTGACCTGGCCTCAGCTGACGACCTAGGCTGGCCGGCATTGGCCCAATGAGCTGTGCCCGCTAACTGAAGCTTCCATCGATCACAGCAGCCTTCGCGGCGAGGACTTCGTGCGTTTGTGTGGCAGCGATACGGAGTGCAGCCGTGGAGTGACGGTCATGGATCCCCTGTCAAACTTCTCATTACCCGAGAACCAGCACGGAAACCAAGTGGGTGACGAAACCAACGGCTCAAAGCTGCTGGCCGAAGTTGCCACGGAAAGTACGTACTACGAAGAAAACCTGGTCCATACCTTGCCAGTCCAGGTTGTGTTCTATATGATCTATTCGACGATTTTTTTTGTTAGGTGTTTTCGGAAACTGCATTGTTATGTACGCGGTCTTCCGGAACAAAACCATGCAGACTGTCACTAATTATTTTATCCTTAACCTGGCGCTGTCTGATATACTTCTGTGTGTCCTTTGCGTCCCTTTCACACCTCTTTACACCTTTCTGCAAAGATGGATCTTCGGAAAGGCCCTGTGCCATCTGGTGACGTGCACCCAAGGAGTCAGCATCTACATATCCTCCCTCACACTCACCACCATTGCCATCGACCGCTTTTTCGTTATCATCTATCCCTTCCGACCCCGTATGATGCCCTCGACCTGCTTCATTCTGATTCTTTGCACGTGGCTGTTCTCGGTGGGAGCAACCATGCCGTACGCAGTTTTCGTTCAGCACGTTCCCATCGACGAAGACACGTACTTGTGCCAAGAGGACTTCCCAGAGGACATCAGGCTGACGTTTGGCAGCGTGACCACCGTCCTGCAGTTCGTCATACCCGTTCATCATCATGACTGTGACGTACACGCTGATATCATTCAAGCTGTCGAGCCGGGCCAGGTCCAAGCCGGGCTCCAAGAGCGCGCGAAAGGAACAGGCGGACCGCGAGAGGAAGAGGCGCACCAACCGCATGCTGATCGCAATGGTTGCCGTGTTCGGACTCTCCTGGCTGCCGCTCAATCTGATGAACATCCTCGACGACATCTCGACCAACCTGGGCCTGGACTGGGACCGCTGGCAGTACTTCCACCTCTTCTTCTTCGTGGCGCACGCCATCGCCATGAGCTCCACCTGCTACAACCCCTTCCTGTACGCCTGGCTCAACGAGAACTTCCGCAAAGAGTTCAAGGAGATTTTGCCGTGCTTCCGTCGCTGCGGCGGCGGCCGCGACCCCCGGCCTGAGAACGGCATGCTGCGCCTGGACCGGAGCGGGCTGCGGCGCGGGTCTACCGGGCGCGTCACCGAGGACCACGAGACCTAAGACCACAGGCGTCACCCATGTGGTGACGCCCTTCGAGCCGGCTACGGAGGAGGTGCTGCTTCTGCAGGCCCTGGCGCCCTCCACCGACGAGCAGGTGACACTGCAGCGCGTGCAGGACGCCACCGCCACCGCCACCCTGCCGGCCACGTTAGTTACCGATCTGTAGGGGAGGACTGAGGCGGCAACCGTAACTGAGGTGTACGTGTAGGACTGCTACAAAGCCCGCCACCGATCTACTAGTTGAAGACTGAGGCAAACCTCGGCACGGACCTGTAGATGGGGACTGAGCCAAAGGTCATCACCAATGTGGGGTGGAGACGGAGACAGCGTCCGTCAGCGAGCTGTCGGCGAGGCGTGGAGTGATACTGGACACATAGTTGTAATGCTGGACCCATATATTTGTAGGTGAGGACGGACAGGATGTTCGCCGATCCGTCGATGGGAACTGAGGCGCCACTGCACACCGGCTTGCAAGGTGAGTACTGACACAAATCTCTAGGTGAGAACTGACCTATCAGAGGCGGTAAAAATAGTGAAAATAAAGGTACGAAATAGGTAAAAGATACCATTTATAGAACAACATCTAAGTTCATAACCGATTGAGAGATCGGACTGTTAACGCGTGAACCGATATGTTGAAGGTTGCAGCCGTCCGTGCACTTTAACATTCGGCTTACAGCTTCTGACCGGTCTGATGATGAGCAAACGGCGGGTCCCATGACCGCTCGCATTTAATTATAATTTTGTAAGTAAAGGACTAATGATCGCAGTTCTCACTGATAAGCCCCTGTTGAAATTGGCTGGATGTTATCCAGCTCTGAACAATAAGGAGCGTAGATTGTCTGCTTCGGTTGTTGCATTGACGCACGATGCGCAATCAGGCCCTCGCGTTTCAGTTGGGATGCTATCTCGGGAAGTCAGCGTGCTTCCCAATAGCTTGTAAGTCTTTGAAGTATGCTGGATGCCAACGGCGAAACCGTATGGTCATTAGCATGCATATTACAGTCCCTGTTGTGACACATGTCATCCGCTATAATTGGCGTCTTTGTATACCCAAGATCGCAATGTGCTGTGTTTGTAAGTATTTGGAATGCCCTTGCTATCAAAGGAAAAGTAAACAATATTCTGCTCAGTGGACAGCGAGGTCATAAGTACAGGGACACTACGTCAGCTGCAGGAAACGTTCAGTGGCCGTCTCTATGACGCTACTGTTCAAAAGACGTGATCTTTCCGACTCTGGTCGGAGTTTCGCAGGCCCTACAGTAGTTCGTGCCGTTTTGTGGTTGTGTAGTTTTTAGCAACGCGCGCGCGAGGACGTGCTTTCGGATGGGTGATGGGCTGCAAGATTGGAAAGTTGCAGCCATGGTCATTATATTGAGCTCTTAATCTGATTACGTTTTGTGCTCCCGCCAATGAAATGCGATTGACACGCGATCTGGTGGGGGTGAATTTCGCCCCTACTGAAAGTTTTTAAGAAGTTTTTTTTAAAAGAATTTTTCCACAATAGTATCTGAACGGCACGGCGTAGCTGCGCCAAACTTTGTAATGCTGCTGACCTATGGCAGGTCAGACAGGCCATGGCTATCGTCTGTCAGGAAATTAAATTCCTTGAGAATTGTTCAACCGCGTGCGACAACGGAGCTTTCGAAGAAGCCATGCATGTTTGAAATAGTCTTACGCTATTGGATAATTGAATTTAGGAAAACTACCAATTCCAGTGACCTTGGTTCAGGCATGAAGGTTGGGCTAAGGCCAAAGCCAAACTGCTTTTATGCTGGAACACCCGTGTCATGGTATTTTTTTGCGCTTCGTCCGAAATAGTTGATCACAGGGACGTTAACAAGCATATTTTTGGACTGTATAAAGTTCGGAGGTCCATGACCTAAAATGACCTCGATCATCCATTGTTTTTTTTTTAGGACAATGCCATCCAGCATAATCCTTGAACTCATTTGACTCGAAGCAATAGCACTGCACGAGGTTTTGGCCACCGTGACTTTCTGAAGGTCCAGTGAGGTCACTTAACTGAAAGGGAACACCAGTCACGTCTTTTCTTAGAACAGTCGTGTAGGTTAAATGTAGTTTCATGAAGGTGTCTATGGGCACTTCGGACATTGCACTGTAGCTTGACATTGTCTGACCTTATTTGGACCGCAGGTCAATGACTAGAACATTTTTTAGAACAGGCGTGTAGGTTAAATGTGGTTTTGTGAAGGTGTCTGAGGGCACTTTGGACACCGAACTGTAGTTTGACATTGTCTGACCCTATTTGGACCGCACGTCATGACCTAGATACTTAAAAATTCACACAAAAGAGGTCACGTACAGCGCTACCTCTCCTGTGAATATGATGTTTCAAACTTTTTTGTTAGATATAAGTGGGGTTAAATTGACCCCATCCAAGCGCGTCGCATTCAACCTGGCCACTCGGGCGCGTGTTGAAATATGGAAGGTTGGTAACGTCAAGAAGTAAAAAGAAAGTAACGACAGGTAAAGTAAAAGTGACGTTCAAAGTATGCACAAAAATACGGCAGCGATAGTAAGACGAGTTCGGTAGAACTTTGCTGGTGACAGAGCCAACAACCAGTTGGTGAGAGCCAAGTCGATGTGCCAGCTTTAAAAGATGATTCGCATGATACCTTCCTCAGTCTCGTTCAAATTCAAAACTCTGTGTTCTTCCACCTCAGCAGGCAGACTGTTCCACATGCTGACAGGCGGGAACCAAAATCACGCTCTGCCGCTTCAGTGCGCAATCCGGGCAGCTGAAGCTTACCTTTGTCCGTTCACCGATTGCCCTTGCCGGAACGTTCGAGTGACACTCACCTGGGGTACAGCAAGGGTGGCAGGCTTGCCAGGCACGAGCCGTCGGCGTTGGATGGCTACGCCTCCCTCCACCACCACACCGTCGTCTCGCGATCAACCCAGTGCTTCCAAGTCTGACAGCCGACTTCGTCTGTGGCGTGTTAACATGCAGGCGCCAGCTTTTCGATGCATCGTTAGTTACGTTACGTGACATTCACCCCAAACGGCTCACAGTCCGCCAGACAGACAGTTCTGCGGACGAAGGACTGCGAACGTTCACGCTGACTCTGGTGTCGAAATTTTTGCAGATCGTCTAGGATGATGCAGCAAGGGCGGGCCGTTTTAGCATATTTTTTGCAATGCAGGACAAGATTCATAAAGGGTCGTAGACATTGGCATGAGTTCATGGCTAAATGTTCTTGTTTCTTTTCTGCCAGGATCTTATCATTAAAATATCTGTCCTCGCACAATGAATTTGGAGACTGTTCAGAACGAACCCTTTCAGAGCTGCTGCAGGCGTTCGCTTACGCGTAGCGTGTGGACCTAAGATTACCTGATAAATTGTAACCCCACAGTTAAGGTCTACATAAAACCGTCTCCGAACGATACATAGGGGGGGGTAGATTATTTGTAAATCAGATTAACATAAAACGGGAATAGTGTTGTTGGACTTCATGAGTCACCGCGCGAGTGGTCGAAGTCCCCTCCCGGAAAACCGGGCATCGGCCCACTTTGTTAGCATGTGCAGTGACATATTTGTTAACATAACACCTTTGTTAGCATGTGCATGTGACATACATTTAACATCAGACGAGGACAATAAATTGAACAATCATTCCATACGGAATACCAATATACCGCCTCAATCCTTCAGTGAAACTACAGCCCGACAATCCTGCCTAGCAACCAGGGGGCAAGTGAACTTGAGCATTGACATCTTGTTTGACTTTAGAGGACTGAGTGCTGTACGGCCACACACACCATTTTGAGATCAATGGTGATGAGCTGTAACGAGTGCGTGTACAACACGTGAATCGCTTAGTGGTAAAAAAAATAGGTGTGAGGATAGTTCAGGACAAAGTAGGATAGACGTATTTCATTGACAGCTGGGCTTGAGACTGCGCCTAAATATGTCAAACGGATGTGTAAAGGTACCCGCCTTAAACCCCTGGCTTAAGGAGTTGAGAGGACTTCCGAGGGAGACCCTTTACTGGGGGTCAAGAGAACAATGATTCTAGCGGATGGATTGAGCCAATAAGCAGTGACTGAGCAACTGTATGACTGTGCAGGTGGAGAGCGGGTACGGGCACGAACATCTTACCTGTGAATGCCTATAACGTTGACCTGAGTGGATGTGTTTGTCGTGATGATGTAAAAAATCTCTAGTGCTGTGGCGTGTGGACCAAATTGAAAAACCAAGGGTGGTGAACCTTATTTCTTACATTTTCTGCGAGCTGTGAGAGCCGCAGTAAACAGTCTGAGAGCGGCCGCAGGCAGTTCCGGAGCGCCTCTGTGTTCCACAATGGTGCCGCGGTTCCTTTAGCAACACGCCCACTGAGAATCACGGCCACTCCTTGGTTCGCACGCGAGACAGCGTCCCCCACACAGCATCCGACAATGGCCCACTCGCCGGCGGGTGTTGACACGTGCGGCCGTCACTCGCCGAGTCGGTGCCGGCGTCGGGGAGGGGCGCGGAGTTCTTCTCGCAGTGGCCGGCGGCGATACGCCCGGGGCGGGCATTCGCCGCCGATTTATGCGGCGGTCGCGTCTCACTAGCCGGGCCCTCATGCTCTGCCGAGAATTAATCGGGGCCGTGTAAAATACTGGCGCCCCATAACGGCAAGAAATATGACTACTAAAACACTGCGCGCTCCGCGATGAATCCCAATAACGGAGGATTACCGCCGGGCGCGAGACGACCGGGCCATGAACGGCGGGGGCGCCTGTTGGCGGGCTGGCACCCCGGGACGACAGCGACCGGTGGGCTGCTGTTGGAAGGCGGACTCCCGAGTTTGATAGCCTAATACCGATCACACCAGGTTCGGTTTTTGTCAGTCAAAACAAAAGTTCGGGAATATCCTTCGGGCAGAAAGCTTATGAAACTGGCAAAACACACGCACGCACGCAAGCGCGCGCACACACACGCGCACACATCTAGGCTCACACACAGCCGCATATGCATATATATATATATATAT